CTTACTCTGGATTTATTTTATTTATTTGCATGCATGTGTTTCTCCTTGGTAGAACATGGCTCCTTAAATGCAGAGAATATTGTGTTTTTAATCACTATCTCTAGTGCCTAAAGCCTTGTACACTGTAGGTGCTTAATAAATGCTTGTTGAATTATATAGAATAAAAGATGTCATCAGAGACACATGACTGAAAATGGAAGAGGACTGATCATGTAGTAAGAATAAGCAGTTACCAATGGATAAGGAAAATTCTCCATTTATATTCATGAAATGTTAAAAGGAGGAGGAGGAGGAGAGGCAGCATATTTATGAATCCTTACAGAAGATTTATAAGAAAACATGGACAAGAGTCACATAGGATGAGAAGCCAAGAATAAGCCTTGATATTCTGGTGAAAATTGTGTCCAAGTCAATGAGATCACAGATCTAAAGAAATTTATTAGAATATATCTGTACTTAATATTTCCTGGTGATACTGATCTCTTTTGTGTTTGTTTTCTAATCTTGGTGATCATGTTTTCTTTCTTCTTTTAAAAATTACTTTTGTTAGTGGTTTATAAATATTATTAATCTTTTTTAAAATTGAGCTCAATTGTATTTATCATTTCAATTTTTTACTTTATTTCTGCCTTTAACTTTATCATCACCTTTTCTACTTTCCTTTTGGGCTATTTGTTTTCTTTTTTTTCTTTTTAGTCATATACACACACACATATCTATATCTATATATCTGTTAACAACTTACTTAATTCAGATACGTGATTTCTTTGTTAGTCTTTTCATTAGATGTGTCATATTTTGACAACAGAGGAAGAACACTGATAAGCTGGGTGGTGTCTAGAGGAAGGCAATCAGGATGACTGTAGGGTTAAGGTTTATGCCATACAGGGATTAGTTTAAGGAACTGATTGAGATGTTTATTGCAGAGAAGACTAGATTTATGGAGAATATGATAGCTGTCTTCAAGTAAATGAAAGGCTATCACGTGAAAGAGATTAGACTCACTGTACTGACTCCAACTGGGCAGAAAAAGGAGTAATGGGTGGAAGCTGCAAAGAAGAATATTTAAGTTTGATAAAAGGACAACTTTACTAACAGTCAGAGTTATCCAAAAGTGCAATGGACTATTGGTCCTACATGAGGTAGTAGGTCTTCCTTCACCAGAAGTTGCATAGTATATTTTAGATCAATCTCTTAATTTAAATTTATTTATCTATATTTTTATGTTAAAAGTGTTTATTGTAGGCAGTAAATTGATGGGTTTATTTTAATCTGTGGAACTTTTTTTTCTTTTGGAGGCAACTAAGGTTAAAGGATTTGCCCAGGGTCACACAGCTCGCAAGCACATGAGGCTGGATTTAAATTCAGGTCCTCCTGATTCTAGGGCTGTTGCTCTATCCATTGCACCACCTAGCTGCCCCTATGACAAAACTTTTAAAAGGCAATTCACCTGGAATTAGGAGAACTTGAGTTCAAATCTAGGCTGAGACACATAACACTCATTAGCTGTGTGACCCTAGGCAAGTCACTTAATCTCAATTGCCTCTCCCCCCCCCCAAATAGGCAATTCAGGTCATTCAAATATAATATCTAAAATGTTAAAACCAGTTTTATCTTACTGATTTTTTCCTTTTACCTATTGTTTTCCTCAATGTCAAGGGGAAATGTAATTTAACTTACTTTTTCTATCATAACTATTTTATATTAAAGTTAATTAATTAACTTTAACAAAACTCTTGTCCTTTAGAATACTATGGCTGCTTTATAATTCTTTGATATTTTACTTTTTTTTTTAGTTAAAGGCAGGAAGTTTGTTTTGGGGATGACCAAGACGTTTCTTTTTATACTTCTTTTATTATTTTATTCTTCTTTATTTGTTGTTTATAAGTGGCTAGGTGGTACAGCGCAAAGAGTGCTAGACTTAGAACCAAGAAGACTCAGCTCTAGCTCTGTACAAGTCACTTAACTTCTCTATGCCTCAGTTTTCCTGACTGTGAGAATCAAATGAGATAACATGGAAGGTGCTTTGCAAATGTTAATGTGTCATATAAATGTTATTATTATTGCTTGTCAATTACAAATTGCTTTTATATACAAATATGGTTGTTTAATTCTATTTTTTGTTAATTCACAGACACTAATTTGTTTTTATTTCATTTACAAAGGCTTATATATGTATTATATCTAGTGATTTTAACTGTAGGTAATAAAAGTATTAACATATACTATTATTTTTAATATCATCACTGAACTGATTTAGTTCTAATATTAATATTAATAAATATTAATAAATACTTAAATGTCAAAGCATTTTTTTCAATTTGGGTTTCTACTGAAAAACTTATTGGGGATAATTTTTGAATGTTATACTATTCTCTTCAAAATGACATGCTCAAATTTTCTGGAAAAATAACTTTAAAAACTATTATGCCTTTTAGACTTACTGGTGGTTTTAACAGGTAATTTTCTTTGTCTTTCTCAATGCTTAAGATTTCTGTTCTTATAATTCTAAAATTTAACAATTATATTCCCAAGAAATTTGTATTTTGGACCTTTTCACACTGTAGTCTTTTGAACAGTTTCCAATTGTAGCATATTTTCTATTCATTTGCTCTAAGTTTTCTCCAATTGCCATATGTCACAGCATAATTGTTACAGATTTTACGACAATTTTTTGCAAAAAAAAAAAAAGTGGGGAGTGACTATTATGTGAAATATTTTTAAAATTGTGCTGGTGTTAACTTAAAAATCAACTATTACTAAACTGTCTTTGGTGCAAGATTAGGATGCATAGAATATTCGTGAATATATGTTAAAATTTGGAAGATGCAAGTCTCACCATATCACAAGACTTAGTCATGGCCACTTCGCCTGCCTGCCTGTTCCCCTTGTGCTTATGGCTCTTCACTGGGTTGAGCGACAATACCATTAGGCTGCAGCACTCTAAACAAACCAGCAACTCAGCTTTTGGAAATATACTAACAATGCACATGAACTGGCAATGAGCTGAGAGATAAATGACTATCCATATACCACTGGTGAGTATGTTGCTGCTCTGTTTACCTTTTAAGGGGCAGTAGAAACAGAATTATATCATGCAACGATTATGTGATAAAAGGTTATAGACCAATTTCTGGACCTAAAAACAGGGTGTGACAATTATGCGATGAAATGTGGTAGTTCTTTTAATACCATGTTTAATTCTTTTTTCTTGAAAAAAGGAATTCATGGTGATCTAAGGTTTGATCTTTTTGTTTCGTCTTTCAGGTCTTATTTTAGACTGTTCATCCATTAGTTGCTCTTAATCCGTCACATTCTGGGATTTTTCTTTTACTTGAATTTTCTGATTTTTTTCCTTAAGCACATTTATTCTGCTTTTTTATTGTTTCTATTCACATTCTCATTTCTTCTAGGTTACTCTGTATTTTTTATAGTCATTCTTTTATCTCTTCCCATGCCTTTGATTGAATTAGTATTAGTCTTTTTTTTTTCACATCTATGGATGGGATCATTATATCAACAAACCTATTATCAGATTTATTTCTTCCACTCATATTACCTGAAAAAATGCTCCTACTGATGTTTCAATCCATATCATTGAAGAAATTTTATCCCTCGACATTTTATCTGATAATTTCTGTTACCAGCATTTTTACTTAATTTATTCATTGCTCAATAAATTTTATGCTTGTCCTTCCCAGGGTTATCCTTTCATTCCATCCTCTTTCTTGCTACCTTTTCTAACTTATGAAAAAAAGTTTTGAATGAGGGAAATGTAAGACCCAAGCTCCTGATAATTTAAGAACCAATGGTCACTGCTGCAGTAGAAAGGGACATCAAGGAACTACACTGTCAACAAGCTCCTGAACCTTTCCTCTGAAATGAGGAATAAATTACAGAAGTTCCTGCAGTAGATGAAGGTATGATTTTTTTTCTGCTATTTCTTTTGATCTCCATTTAAACTCCCCCTTGCTACTTTCTCTTGTTTTTTCACTGGTTCCTTCTCCCTTCTTCTAAGATTCGGTGATATAGTAGTGCAGGCTGTTGTTATTACCATTCATAAAGGCTACTGGAAACCAATATATTCCTACTTATTTTTTGTTTTTCTACCTCATTAGCTTCAACAACCCATAATAACGAATCAAAGTAACTAAAATCCACTGATGATTGTGGAAAAATAAATTCATTTGCTCCTCCCTTAACCTAACTAGAAGAGTTGCTAACAGTTAACTGACAGACAACATAAAAAAAAAAAAGACAAAAGACAAGAACAGTCCAAAAATGGATAAACAGCTCTTAAATAGAAAAGAGGTACCTGTAGTGGAATAATTTATAAGGTGTTTAAAACAAAAAACCAGAGAGGTCTGTTTTTTGTTTGTTTCTTTTTTTAGGCGATTTAGCCTACTAAAATAATGTATGTATATGGGAAAATATATACAAACTAACTTCTGGTTGCCTGTTTACTACTTAATAAAATCCTTAATGATCAAAGATCAAATATGCTGAGTTAGGAGAAAAATGAAAGAATATGGCCAAATAATTAAAGCTTTTCCTTAATCATGCTGGACCATGATTAACTGTTAAAAATACATTGAAAAAGAAGGCCACCTAAAAACTCTGATCAACACAATGACCAACCACATTTCCACAGGACCCATAAACACTCTTCCCATCACCTACTGAAAGAGAAGTAGGTGATGGATTCAGGGTGCAGACAGAGATATATTTTTTTGGACATACCCAATGTGGGAATTATTTTTGCTTGACTGAGCATATTTGTTAGAAGGACTTTTTTTCTTTTTAATGTGGGAAAGATAAAAAAAATTTTAATTGAAAAAGGTTAAATTTAAGAAAAAAGAGAAAAAGAAGGCCAAACAACAGCAAAAATTACTAATGTAGCCTTTGTTAGAAAATCTTTGGACATCACTCCTTAAACATCTGGACCTTTGCCAAGGCCTAAAAACAAATAACATTAATTCTTTGCTCTACTATCTACATACCTTGGAAGTTGTGCTTTAACTTGTTTTTGACACAGGTTGTGATATCTTTCCACTTTCAGAAATCCCTGATTCAACATTCTCTGGCAGACTAAGTCCATCCGCTTACAAACCTACAAGATGGAGGAAGAATAAAGAAAAACCACATGTTATTAGTTCAGATTCAATACTGGACAAAAAGTTCTCTTGCACTTTTCCAGTCTCCTGTTTAACACTCCCACTAGCTTCCCAGTCTAGTTCTTTATCAATTAAGCAAATCCTCTGCCATATACTCTCTTCATAACACTCCAAATATACTTCCTGTTTGTTTGCAAATAAGATAAAATTAGTTTTTATATCTCAGTGCAATTCACCAAATAGTTAAGTCCCTACTATGTGCTATACTGGAGATACAAAGACAAAAATGAAACAATCCTTGCCCCTCAAGGAACTTACAATTTCTACTGCAATACTCTGAATGTGTCTTTGATGGAATTTTGTGGCATACATAAAATCCTTGTAAAAGGGGAGTAGCTTCTTTATACATGTGGAGACATGGTGACATATAAGTAGTTGCTAAATGCTTTGATTAAAAAGTCCTAAATTTAGTCACAGGTTCTAATAGGATTGAACTAGATCATAAAATCATAGGTTTAGAACTAGAAGTGACCTTAGAGCTCACTGGTCCAAGTCTCTCATTTTAGAGATGAAGAAACTGAGGCAAAGTTTTTTGCCCAGCAACCTGGATAGCAGGATTCAAACTCTGGTCTTCTAACTTCAGGTTCAGTACTTTTCTCATCACGTTGGTCTCTTCCAACTCTAAATACCATGAACTTACGTTTCAGTCTATTCTAAGTCTTATGAGCATAGACATTACATAGAAATTAAAATGACAAAGCTCGGCCCCAAGGAAGACATATGAAAATGTATCTCCCACTCTTTGCACAGATGGCAAACTATGTGAAGATTATATGTCAAACATTATATATATAATGACGGATTTGACTGATGTCTTGATTAGTTTTGCTGAACTTTCCTCTCCCCTCTTTTTTATGTATTTGGAAATGTATGCAATGCAAAAAAAAATCAATAAAAACTTTTAAAATGAAATTTCACATTAAAAATAAGATCTTAATCACTTCTCTTAATCACTATTATTATAATTATCAGGGATATTATTACTAAGGAACACAATTATATATTTACATAGAACTTTAAACTGTTTTTTCTTCTCATCCCTTTGGGGCCCCATAACAACCCTGTGATGAAAGTTGTATAATTATCATTATCAATTTACATGTGAGGAAACTGATGCTCAGAGATTAAGTGGCAAGCCCAGAGTCATAGAGAAAGGACTTAAACTCTGGCCTTCTGACTGACCCCAAGTCCTACCATACTATCAGCTTACATCAGAGCCTTAAGGTTCTGATCAGGCATGGGAGAAAGGTATATTCCAGTTAATTCAGTTTTCTTAACTTAGAAATTACCAGAGATGTCCTTTGTTTCACCCTTTGCTTGGAAAACAATAATTCACATTTACATAATCATTTAAAATTTGTAAACTTCTTTCCTCAAAAGAATCCTGTGAGTTATCATCCTCATTTTGTGGTTAAGGAAACCGAAATTCTGAGAGGTTAACTTATTTGCCTATAGCTGAACATTAGACTAGTAAGTGGCAAAGCCAGTATTCAAACTCAATTTCTCTAGCCAGAAGTCTCAGAGTAATTCAGTAAATTAAGGGAAAAAACTCATTAGAAGGAAAATAGTGAAAAGAAATGATATTATAATAAAGAACATTAGTGACATATCAAACAAGTAGAGATTGGGGCACTGCTCCAGGACAGGTAAATTTGAGTAGGAAATTTCAAGAACTTCAGTCAACCTCTATGCCTAAGGAAGAAGCTAGGGAGATTAAGCAGCTTGATTACTTTGTGGAAGTCCTAAGGGAACACTCAGGCAGCCTAGGAGTAGGAGGGGAGGCATTTCAAGGATCACTATAAATTTATGTTTTCTAATCTCAACTAGATCCTCACTGCCAGGCAATTCTTTTACTCTTTTGCTAACTGGTGAATGCATTTCTCAAAGAGATAATTTCAAATGTCTTCTCAAGTCTCTCACATCCTCCAGTGTTGGATAAGGACCTAGCCATATACTATACTGAGAAAATAGAAGTCATTCCCTCAGAATTCCCTGTCTTTCCCCCTATTCTACATTTCAACCCCCTTGACAACACCTTCCATCCTTTCCTCTCAACAAGGTCAACCTCTCTACCTGTGCTCTTGATCCCATCCCCTCCTAAGCCTTCTCTAGCAGATTGGCCCCTCCCTGAATCATCCCCTTTCCATTAAAAAACAAATGTGGGCAGCTAGGTGGCGCAGTGGAGAGAGCTCCCGGCCGTGGAGTCAGGAGGACCTGAGTTCAAATGTGACCTCAGACACAAAACATTTACTAGTTATGTGACCCTGGGCAAGCCTTACTTAACCCCATTGCCCAACCAAAAAAATCCAAAAAACCAAACCAAAACAAAATAACACAACAAACAACCCTCCTCCCCCTCCACACCCCTTTTTTGTTATTATGGATTTGTCAAACATCAACAAATAGGAAAATTTCCTTACACAAAGAACAGGAAATGAGGACTGTATATAACATTGTGATCCTCTAATATGTACATCCTGTTTTTAAAAAAGTATAAATTAAATTAACTCCTAGATTCTCCTATCTGCCTGACTCCTACAACACTGTCCTGATTGTGTCCCCTTCTCAACTTCCTTTTTGCTCTTCTTTGTATATTTTTAAAATGTTTCACTGACACTTTTTTTAGTCTCACTATCACCATCTGCGATTGCTCTCTATTAACTCCTCTCTCCTCAAAGCACTACCTTGTAGAAAATAAGTACAGTAAAAAGAAAACAAAAAAACAAACAAACCCCAAATCCATACATTGACTGCATCTGAAAACACAAGTCACAGTTTGCACCTTTAGTCCTTGGACGCTCAGTCAAGATATGGGAAGCATGATACAGCATAAGTATTCTGGAGTCATGACTGGTGATTGCATTGATCACAGTTCTTAAGTCTTTCACAACTGTTTTCCATTACAATGTTGTAATCACTGTATAAATTCTGCTTCTGATCATTGTACTCTGCACCGCTTCATAAAGTCTTCTTACATTTCTAGGAAACTGTTCCTTTTATCATTTTTAATGGCACAATAATATTGTTACATTCATATACCATAATGTGTTCAGACATTCCTCACTTCCTCTTAGATATCTGAGGTTTTTTTTCCCTTTTGCCACAAAAAAAGAGCTGTAATAATAATAATAATAATAATAATAATAATAATAATAAACAAAACAAGACCAAAAATGTGGAGTCCTTTCCCTCTTTCTTTGATCTCTTTGGAGCACTGACCTAGTAATAGTGGTATCACTGGGTTAAAAGGTATTCACAGTTTAGTAACTTTTGGGGTATGGTTCCAATCTGCTTTCAAGGGCTAGAGTAATTCACAGCTTCACTAACAATATATTAGTATGCCTATCTTCCTATAATCTCTCCCAAAATTGTCATTTCCCGTTTTTGTCATCTTTGTCAATCTAATGAGTTTGAGGTGGAAACTCAAGAGATGTTTTAATTTGCATTTCTATTACTAGTGATTTGGAACAATTTTTTCAAATGATTATTGATAATTTGCTTTTCTTCTCTTTAGAACTGCCTATTCATATCTCTTGACTACTGATCTAATGGGGATAGCTCATTTTTATATATTTTATCAATTCCTTATATATTTTAAATATCAGACCTATGAGAGACAGCTAAGCTACTTTCATTTTCCACAACAGACCTTTGTCAGAAAAATTTGCTGCAAGAAAATTTTCCCAGTTCACTGTTTCTCTTCTAACTGCATTGTGTTTGTGCAAAAATTTGTGAATAAAATCATCCATTTTATCTCTTCTGATCATTTCCATCCCTTGTTTGGTCAGGAGTTCTCCTATCCATGGTAGTGAAAGGGATCGCCTTCCTTGTTTCCGAAATTTGTTTTGATATAACTTTTTCTATTTAGGTTGTGCATCCATTTGGAGTTTATTATGGCATATTGAGTCAGATGTTAGCCTAAAAATAATTTCTGCCAGACTGCTTTCCAATTTTCTCAACATTTTTTGTCAAATCATGAGTCCTTACCATAGTAGCTGTAATTCTTAGATTTACCTAACACTGCTACTATGTTTGATTGCTTCTGAGTCTCTTTCTGTATAATATTCTTCAGTCTCTCCCTAGCTATTGGATTCTTCCATCCTGCCTACAAACTCAGATCTTCCTCTTTAAAAAAACAAAACAAACCACCTCACTGTTTTGTCCTATACCTTTATTTCTTTTCTCAGCCAAACCACTAGGAAAAGCTATCTACCTCTCCTCTCCTCTCACTGACTACTTAAATCCTTGCAATCTGGCTTCTGACCTTACCGCTCAACTCTAAAATTACAAGTGATCACCTAATGACCAAATCCAATGGCCTTTCTCAGTCCTAGACCTTCTGAACCTATCTGCAACATTTGGCAATACTGACCATCATGCTGGGCACTCTCTTCTCCCTGGGTTTTTGTGACTCTCTCTCTCCCTTGTTCTCTCCTCCATGTCTGTCTGACTATGCCTTTACAGTCTCTATTGCTTGATCATTGTCCATGTCTCATCCCCTGTCTCTGTCCTGGGATCTCTCCACTTCCCTCTCTATGCTCTCAGTGATTTCATCAGCTCCATTAGTTTAATTATCACTTCTACAGAAATGATTTCCAGGTCTGTGTATCTAGATCCAGTTTCTCTGCAACCAAATAACCAACAGACACCTCAAACTTGGTATGACCAAAACAATTCATAATTCCCCTAAACCTACTCTTCTTTTTAACTCCTCTATTCTTGTCAAGGGTATCACCACCCTTCCAGTTAAGTTCACAATCTAGAAGCCACTGGACTATTCAGTGTACTTTATTCCAATGAGTTGCTAAGTCTTTTAATTCTATCTCCCCTTCTTATCACTTGTAACTTTCAAACTTGCACCTATTCTTTCACCTTACTCATAAAGTCTCCATCCTAGTTAAAGACTTCATGACCCCTCACTTGGTTTTTGCAATAT